AACTCGGATCGGGTTTGGTTTTCTGCGTTTTTCTCTTCCGTAGCAAGTAGTTGAATGGTGTTTTGACAAGTCAGAGCCACTGAATCACAAATATAAAAAAACACATACGAAAATTTCGGACTCAGGGCCCTATCTTGCACCCGGCGCAATTGACTTTGTACACTGACGCATGTATCATTCGTATTTTGCACCCGTGCAAAGCGGACTTTTCCCTCCACAGACGCACGCCGGCAAACTAGGGAATGAACTTGCGCTCCCTGGGCGGTTCAGCGCAAAAAAGGAGGCGTGTTCCAGCGCAAACAATCCCTGGTGCTATTTTGCAGTTCCAGAAAACAATTGCGCCACTGACCAGAAAAAACCTAGTCTAAAGTCAGTGGCGCGTTGCGCGTACATTCAGATGCTATTTTAAGCGCGCATGCTTGGCCATAATACAGAGTGTGAACAACGCGCATACACTGTAGAGCATCGGTTCCCAACAGGGGGGTCGCGTCATATTTTGAAAGGTTTGAGCAATGAGCATTAAATAAAAGTCCTTAACTTTTTTTCTGTTCAAAATGTACAAAATGTATATAATGAGCGAGTTCATCATGAATCCATTTTCCAATCCATGTTTTTGTCTTATCCTGAACCACTATGGTACACCTATAATAAGTGTTTACATTGGGACTATTTTACACTGGTTCGGATCGCTGCGCTGCGGAGTAGCCCAGTGCCTGCGTGACTCGACATAGACGACGTACACAGAGAGATGTAGTTCCGGCTACAATGTTCTTCCGAAAGACGCATTATTCTGTTTATAAACGCAAGTTTATTATCGCTCGCTATAGCGCCAAAAAGCGTAAAAAATAAAGCCTCACATTGATAAAGCCTCACAAATAACATGCAAGTATTGAGGCCCCAGACAACAGTCATTTAGTAATAGCCTATATTCTTTCTTTTTTTACCTACACACCAGTGTGAATATTTTTGTTTTTGCATTTCAAATAGGGCCAATTTATAGGCTTCTCCTAGGCTTACGTTTTTAAATTACAAAGGGCCTACTGATGTTTTTGTTATTGTATTTTCAATATTATAGGCTATTATTTGTGCATAAACATACCGTTTGTTTGAAAACAACATATTTTGTCATCCTTGCTGCAAGCTTTCAAGAGCGATAATATCATTAAATGTGAAGGGGGGCCATAAAATATTTTCTTGGGAAAAATGGGTCGCAGACAAAAAAAGGTTGGGAACCACTGCTGTAGAGGATTCACTCATCTACACAGATGCATTTTACTTTTCGCAAATGATACATATTATAAGGAAAAATATTAAAACACGAGGGAAATCATTGTTGTGTCCATGACGATGGGAAAAATAGGCATAAAGCTTACACATTTACCCAAATTATTATATGCATGTTTAACCGAAGCTAATTTGGGTGGGGTTGTCCCATCCCCAATGTCACTTCTCTTTCTTTTACGGCCCTGACGAGAACATCGATCTCCTCGGCTGTGAACCGATCCTGAAGCGCGCCTAAATGTTTTTAATTTTATTTAACCTTTATTTAACCAGGAAGTCCCTTCAGACTGAAATCTCTTTTCCGAGGGAGACCTGGCCAAGACGGCACACCAGTTACAATTTAAATACAAATACAACATGGTCAAAAACAAGCATCACACATAAAAGAAAAGTACAGGTCACATATGGCAGTTACATTTTTGAATTATATGGCATTTTAACATGGCCTTAAATTCATTTAATGGGACTAGATCATTTAGATGTAGCCAATTTTGCACATTATTCCAGGACCGTGGTGCAAAGTAAGAGAAGGCTTTTTTTCCCAGCTCAGTAAAAACCCTTGGAACCTGGTAAGAGAGCCATCTGGTGGAACGGAGATGAAAACTGCTGGAATTCTTTTTAAAGAGATTACATAAATATGCCGGCAATTTACCCAACATGGCTTTGTATAGAAAAATATGAAATGAAGTTGTCTACGTAGACTTAGTGAAGTCCAGCCTACCAGTTCATACAGCGTACAATGATGAGGACGGGAACCAGAGTTAGTTAAAAAGCGTAAAGCACTATGATACACAGAATCTAAAAGGTGGAGAGTACTAGAAGCAGCATGCATGTAGACGACATCACCATAGTCCAAAACACATAAAAAAGTGGCCTGCACAAGTTTTTTTCTAGCTAACATGTTAAAACAAGCATTATTCCTAAAGTAAAACCCCAGCCTTAGTTTCAGCTTTTTTACAAGCTTTTCAACATGAACTAAAAAAAATTAAAAAAACGGCGCTACTAAAAAACTGTTATAACAGCGCTACTACTAAATGCGCCGTTATAATAGTATTGCGCCATGGAACAAGCGCACCTCGTTCATCATGCTCTTAAAGGGAATGTGAGATGACGCTCTTATTGGTTTGTTTCCCGTTATGCCCAAACCACACCTATGAATAATGAAGCTACTTCAGACCAACCCCTTTTAGATTTGCGCCAGGCGCAAGAGGCATTTATCCCGCCGGTTAAATAGCAACAGCGCCGGGATCCGCCCACAAAGTTACTTTCGCTTTGCGCTTGACACTTGCGTTTTAGATCGTTAAAATAGGGCCCTCAGTGTTGCTACAACTGCGAATACTATATGTATCTTTACAAATTAACAATGGCCAGAGACCATTAACATTTGTTTGTATTTGACGCAACAGTCATATTTAAATATATACGTCATTTAAATATAGAATGAATGCAATGTAAAGCGAAATGTACTTTTATTTTATTTTTCCGACTGTTGAAAAGTGTTTTCCAGTGATTTTCCTCGTTTAAAGCACTGTGTCTTGCTAAATCCATGTTCTAAGGATACGATAAGTTTCCTCTCTCTCATGTCAGAATGAAAGCAATGAAACGGGTGAATCTGAAGAGCCGATATAAGCTGAGCGCTGCAGTTTGTGTTCTGTCTTTGCTTGGGGCCGTTTAGTGTCTCCGGTGATGTTCACATGTTCAAATGATGTTTCCTTGAGTTTCCTGTATCTTATTACATTCCTCTCTCTTCACTTCATTTGTTTTCTTTTGTCTTTCAATCTCTCTGCTCTTTTTCTCCACAGAACAATAACATGGAGCACATATGGAGATCATTTGTTGGACTTTAAAAACACTTTCACTGAACACCTGTCAGGATATGCCTGCTTATGAACTCCCAATACTAATGCATGTTATATTATGACATTTAAGTGTTATGTTGATTTTACATATACATACGTTTTATAAAAAATCTAGTTTTGCACATCTCTGTAAGGAGATGAAGGTTGTGTCTTAAATGACCAACTCTAGATGATTTTAAATCTGAGCTGTCGTGAAAATCATTATATCAGGTGTCATTTTTCTGTCCTGGGGGTTAGTTGTCATTTCAGAAGCATGTGTTGTGACCTCATGATGCCTCTACTTCACTTCCCTGTGGCATTGATATCAGTTCAGGGGAATTTCTGAAAAATCAACCGGTCCAGTTTACCGTCATCGTCAGGCGGTGATGACATATCTAGGTTATTGATCTTGTGCTGTGGTTTCTCTATTTTTAAAAACACCTGAATCTGAGTTCAAGGACACGACGGGACATGCTGTTTTTACCACACGGGACAGTGAGCACATGCTATACTAACAGGCCGCCGCTGATAGCGAGCGAGAGGGATGTTTTGGCTTTATCTCACTGATGCTAATTTTGGTCGCTTGTCATCGCATTTCTCTTCTCTCCTTCCCAGCGCTGCTGTTCTGCCTGAAGCTGGGCTCGTTTCATACGAACGTTACGCAAACGCTTAACTGCTCGTTACTCACTGTGAAGCGTCTTCCAACTATGAATGAATACTAGAGTTTAAGAAGTTCATCCATAAAGGCACATTCTGGATTGGGCTGCATGATATTGGAAAAGCTGACATTGCATTATTAAAGGGATAGTTCACTTTGAAATAAATTTTTGGTGTGTTTTAGCTTACCTCAAGGGCATCCAAGATGTAGGTGTCTTTGTTTCCGCAGTAGTTTCAATTTTGATATTTTTAGGTCAAACCGTTCTTGTCTGTCAGTGATATAATGCAGGTCTATGGTCACCACCTCAAAGAGCATGCACAGAGAAGTCCAAATTAAACATGATTTAATGACTCGTAAATGTAAGTACACATTGATGGCCTAAGACACGAAACGAGCGGTTTGTGTGAGAAAACGAACAGTATTTATATCGTTTTTACCTCTTGTAAACACAGCCACGTCCAAGGGCTGAACAGTTTGGGTATGCTAGTTACAAGAACCAAATCAAACCCTTTTCAGTAACAGTGACGTGAACAAACTTTTCCAAAACTCCTCATAAAATATTAAACAAAATAAGAAATGTAATTTATTACAAAATTATTTTATTTTATAGTACAGCTGTAAAAGTATTATTATTTACTTCTTAAATTCTTTATTTTCAAACATTGAACAATCAAGCTTTTATTTTGGTGGTTCTCTGGCAAATAAATAAATGCAATTTCATGTAAATGAAAACAGTGCCAGACTTCACTCTGAAACCAGCAGTGAGTACATATATTTATTTAATTAAATCCCAGCCTTTGTGATTTGATAATCACACTTAGCCATATCGCAGCTATTCTGTCATCATTGTATCAATAATTATTTAAGTTTTGCAACATATTTTTTATACTGTAAATTGTTAGAGCATGAAAATGGTAATTTATGGACCATGGTACTGTATATATTCCAAATTACTTGCTGTTTTGTTCATTGTATGGAAATGAGCAGTGTGAATATGATATGTATATTCATTCTCATTATGTGATTTGTCGTTGTGTGCAAAGTAAACACTTCATCTAAAGGGATGTCGCTCTTAATAAAGCCTGTTACTGCTAAATGATGACACGTGTCAGTTTGAACATGCTAAATTTCTGCATTTGATTGGCTGTGATTGTCTCAGATGTGGAGCTCGTCGTTCGACTGACAGGTGTCTTCTCTTCCTTTTCTTTCTGCCGTTCTCACAGAGGAAACATCACGCTACCGAAGATCCCGGAGTCCAACATGGCTCTGAGCGTGTTAGGAGTGTTTCTCGGATTGCTTCTGGAAGTTTCCACACACGGCCCCTCCAGCGTTCCCAGGAGCTCATGGAAGCAGGATGGTGAGTGAAGGGTTCATTTTTATTTTTATTTATAGGCTAAACTGTTTTTAGAGATAAAACTCTTTACATTCGATAATCATGAAAACAAATCTCAGATAACGGTTGACTATGTAACAATGTGTAATTAGACCAAAGGTTCATTTTGCGCCGGAGTTCTCCTTTAATAAGGCTGCATTTTAATTCACCTTAATCGGGTACATATTTATACAGCATTTTGAAAAAATATTATATATAGTAATTACATATGGTTTTTCTTTTTACTTCTGGGACTGTTTGATTAACAGATGAAACTCCATTAACTGCATCTGTAATATGCTGACAAGCTTCCTTTTTTTTAGGACCTGATACGCCACCTATGCTTGAAAATAAAATGTGGTGTTTTGAATGAACTTCTGATAATAAAACTTCGATTTCGGCATCTGAGAAATTTTTCTTTTTCATTCGCTTTTGAGAAGACATGTTGAAATCCTTCGTTTGGTGTCATAATATGATGCCCATATATAGTTGTCAGTCGGATTTAATGGGCGGGATTTATGGTAATTGAGAATGAGCGTGCACGCGCGTCCCATTCACGACTGATTGGAATTCATTAACACACACACATTTCACTATCACATCTGACGTTTATGAAGTATTTGTGAATCAGGAGACGAGTTTTCGGGAAGGTCTCTTTACACGCAAATCACTCTCATATTTACTCGTGTATTTACGAATGTTTCATGAATGAGACCTATTGTCACGATGATTTGTGGATTTGTCTTAAAGAAATTAATACTTTTATTCAGCAAGGATACGTTTAATTGATCAAGAATTACAATAAAGACATGTATAATGTTACAAAATATTTTATTCTCAATTCTATTGTATTTCAAATAAATGTTGTTCTTTTGAAAAAATGTGGCAAGATTTCCACAAAAATATTCCGCAGCACAACCTTGATAATAATAATAGTTGTTTCTTGAGCAGCAAATCATCATATTAGAGTGATTTCTGAAGGATCATGTGACACTGAAGACTGGAGTAATGATGCTGAAAATACAGTTTTAATCACAGGAATATATTACATTTTAAAATGTTTTTTAATTTGTTGTAATATTTCACAATATTACAGTTTTCACTGTATTTTTGATCAGATAAATGCAGCGTTGGTGAACATAAGAGACATAAGAGAAAAACATTAAAACATTTCATCCACAAACTTTTCACCAGTAATATATGTATATTATATATACAGTATATATATAGTTTAGAAGCATGTTTCACCATCACAGGAAGTTCGATTTTTGGCTTTTCTAACACAAATAGCATCAGCACACACATGTGGCGCCTGCAGACGTCTGGCCGCTGGAGACCCGAGAGCCGCAAGTATGTAGCGTAAACTCACACGCATACACACACCAAACTGGCCGCCAAACACAAACTGAAGTGTGCCAGTGACACATAACTATCTTTGAGTGCTCATGCTCAAATATACATGTAGCGTATAAATATTCCTTACTAAACATAAAGCGTTCAAGAATTACAGCCATTGCACTTGGTCTTGGTCATTTGTGTCCTCCAGAAGAAGCTATTGTAATCAAAATGTACCCTTTTTACTTTCTGAAAAGGGACCTCTTATGCCCTTTTGTCTAGATTTTGTTTTTGGGCTGTACTAAAATAGGTTTTCATGCTTGAATGTTCAAAAAACACATTATTTGTCCCATATTGTCCATTGTTGCAGCTCGTCTATTCCCAGTCTGTCAGTAACGCTCTGTTTAGTTCCTGTCTCTATGAAGCCCCTCCTTCTGAAAAGCACACTGTGCTCTGATTGGTCGGCTGGAGCAGTGTGTTGTGATTGGTCGAGCGCTTCGACTGTGTTTGGGAAATGTCCCGTCCCTTACCATAACATGAGTTTCAACACACTACTAACTAACTCAACCAGGCCCCACCCCTTTATTCTGCATATGAATTATTTAAATGAGGAATATTGTGACGTGTTCGTTCCCGGAAGAAACTGAAGACTACAATAGAGGCGTTTCAGGGTGTTCAGAAACACTGACACTGATATAGAGAAGAACTCTTTGTAACTTCATGCTCAAACAGCAACATTACACGCTGAAGAACATGAACATATAAAACAAGTTTAATAGGACCCCTTTAATGCACATAATTTAATGCTGATTAATGTTAATTTAATGGCAATAATAACAAAAAAAGAAGCATTAGCAATTGGGCTGCTGCTTTCATAAAGTTCAGGATCTCCTCTGGAGCGGATTCAACCACAACCAGCTGGAGAATTATATGTTTACTGTTCAATATACTCTCTTTTGAAAGTTTATTCAATTTTAAAATGTGCAATGCATTCATTCAGCAGACGTAAAGAGATTCCAGAAAATGTCATTTCTTTTCCAGACGTTTTTCTCCTTGAATTTTCCGTCTTAGTCAGATATGTCTGCTGGTTATTTCCAGGACGATCTCAGCCAGTACCCACAAATCCCATCTGATGGTTTGCTAATGTGTGTGTGTGTGTGTGTGTGTGTGTGTGTTCCTGTAGATGTGAACCTGCTGGAGTTCTGGGAGCCGGATGTGTTTAACTACACGACTCTCCTGCTGAGCGAGGACAGAGGTGTGCTGTACGTGGGCGCTCGAGAGGTCATCTACCAACTCAACATGAACAATGTGTCAATCAAGAGCAACCAGGTGAGAATTATTCCTCTTTTAAAGACTCTTGATGTTAGTCACAGTGAGCAGACAGTGTTGTGATGTTGTATTGACTGTGATCTATTTCAGCTGATGTGGAAAGTTCCAGAGAACGACATGTCAATGTGTATTTTAAAGGGGAAATCTAAAGAGGTAATGTGGAAAAATGTCTTCGATCTGAATTTTTCATCACTGATGGTGGAATATTTGTAAGTATTTGATCCAGAGGATGAAATGTTTTTTGTGCTTGTGTGACAGACGGACTGTCGAAATTACGTCCGAGTTTTGCAAGTCCTGGATGAAGACAATCTGTATGTTTGCGGGACTCACGCGTTTCAACCTCTCTGTGATTATCTGGTGTGTACAACTCTTAATATTCACTAATTAAACCTTCAAAACATTTCAAGTGTCAGCCAGGCTTGCCAGCAAACCCTCAACTGTGGAAGATGTTTACAAGTTTGTAATCGGGTAACGGTCAGCTTTTTATCCGCATCGGTTCAGGGACTGTTTTTTCCTTCTATTTTCTCCAAATGGATTTTGAGAAATTTTTCAATAAAGAGTTTTAAGTTTTGAACCAAACTAACCAGCTCACAGATACATAACATTACAAATATTTTGTATAACATTTGAGGCAAAGAAATATTAGAAAATCTGGAGTAAAAAAGGCTTTGTGAGCATCTTTTATGAAGGAATGAGCTACTCTGCGCATAAAGCATTACAATATTACGGCCACTACAATAATAACACTGAGAATTATTAAATGCAGCTATTAAATGCAATTTTTTTTTTAAAGTGTAAATGCCACTGATTCATGGCTTCTACAGAAGCATATAAAATCATGCTCAAACTTCTCAAATTATATTTGCATTACTACAGTTTTACTCATTGGATAACAATTCAGTGAAATTTAGTATTATTTTATAGATAAAGTGTATATATACACACACATGTGTATGTATGTATGTGTGTGTGTGTGTGTATATATATATATATATATATATCATTTGCAAGTGTGAACCACAACTGAATCCTTGATTCACTCACCAAAACGAGACAATATACGAGAACTGCATTATGGTTTTAGTTAACAATAGCAACATTGCTGGGATCTTTACTTATGGAAACTCAGCTGTTCCGCTTATATATATAGTTTTAAACACAAAAGTATTATCATCAATTTCAATATGTGTGACATTTTGGCTTCTCTAGATTGTCAGAACTTCCCTGATATTTTGATAACAATGGCCCTGTTATGGCACTAAATTTCAAATCAGTTTTTTAATACAATAGTTTCCTCTTTTTGTTGCCATAAAGACAGACAACAGGATCATGTGACTCTGTAGTCTGAACTATTTATTTACATTCACGCATTTGGCTGACACTTTATCCAAAGCGACTTGCATTGCATTCAAGGTCTACATATGATGCTTTATATCTGTTGCCTTTCTTATTCCACTTTTACATAATCATTAAAACATTTTAACGGGATGTTCTGATGTCTCTTACCGGCTCATTTCTCTTTAGTCTCTGCAGAATTTCAGTTTGCTCAACAGACCAGAGGATGGCAGGGGGAAATGCTCCTTTGACCCGGGCCAAAGTTTCACAACCGTAATGGTTGGTAAGTTCACCTGCAGTTTCCTTCTGTCACCTAAACCACATCAGCAGGACACACTCAATGTTTCGTCTGGTATTCTTCATATCCTCAAATTGTCAGTAGTAGTGTGTTAACTGCTTGTTTTTCTTGTTCAGATGGCGAGTTGTACTCGGGAACCGCTTATAACTTCCTGGGGAGTGAGCCGATCATCTCTAGATCTTCTCCGTCTCAGAGTTTACTGCGCACTGAGTATTCCACGTCCTGGCTCAACGGTACGCCGCAAATGTTTCCATTACACTGACTAGACAGTGGTATGAAAACCATAGGCGTAATTTGCGCACCACGCAACATGTCCCCACCACTTTTTGCCAGGGTCGATATTGTCCCCACCACTTTTGAAACATCTCGCGGCACGGATGTAACTAATACAAATAAATAAAACATCTCTAGTTAACTAGCAGAGCATTCATTTCGTTCGTTTGTTAAATAAGAGGCGATCTAGCGCTGAAATGTGTTTTTTGAAATCAAGTGATCAGAGTGCTCGTTGACTGCGATCAGTGGCGCGGATACAGTGTTCTCTTGTGGCTCGAGCGCAGTCTTCACACGGACGCACGCTTTAATCCGTTGTGGAGACTCTCTATTCGTTCCAGTGAAATCCCAAAGTAAAATGCACACAAACGTGTGTCTGCTTGATATACAACCACTGATAAACATAATCGGTTTTAAGGAGAAAAAACTAAAACAAAAACTATACGAGTGCGGATTAGAACCCATAACCTCTGACATGCTTGGCAAAAGTTCTGCCACTGGACCATTAAAGTGCATGCGTGTAAATGTCGGATCTATGTTTTTCTTCCCCCCCAACCCCTCCCCCCCAGCACTTCTGGAAATGCACTTATGCATCTCTGTCCCCAGCACATTTCAAACCAAACTGACGCCCATGATGAAAACAATATACTGTATAAATACATATAGATAAACAAGTAGGCATAGAGAACAGTCAAATAAGAATGTAGACTCGAAGTACATTGGCACAGGATAGGCGAGGAACAGGGGGGACATGTATCCCTCACTCATAATAAAATGTAAATTCGTCCCCCACACTTTTTTGGGCTAGTGTGTTCACATAGAGGCCAATGTGAATAATTCTAGACTTAAATACAAAGAGACAAGATAGTCAATGCATGAGCTGTCCTTTTATTCTTATCCAAAACGAGGCGATCTGAACATCGTTCTCTCGTGTAATGTATGTTTCGTTCATACTCGAAGCCGGAGGGCGCTCTCTCACAGAAAGTCCCAAACGGATTCGTAGAAGTAATAACTTATGACGTTCCAGGAAATCCCTTATATGGACAAAGGCATCCAGCTTTAGCAGAAAGCTGAATAAAAAGAAACGTTTTGACTGATGAAACATGAAGACAGTGAACACACGATTGCGATGATATATTTTTTATGTGTGTTTTTCAAGCCATCTCAAGGTATTTATTGACAAGGATATGAATAATGCAGTGCTAATTTACAACCTTTTTTATGTTTTTGACTGCTCACCAAGGCTGCATTTATTTAATCAAAAATACAGTAAAAACAGTAATATTGTGAAGTATTATTACAAATTAAAATAACTGTTTTCTGTGTGAATATACTGAAAATGTAATTTATTCCTGTGATCAAAGCTGTATTTTCAGCATCATTACTCCAGTCTTCAGTGTCACATGATCCTTCAGAAATCATTCTAATATGATGATTTGCTGCTCAAGAAACATTTCTGATTATTATCAGTGTTGAAAACAGTTGTGCTGCTTAAAATTGTTGTGGAAACCATGATGCATATTATTTTTCAGGATTCTTCGATGAATAGAAAGTCCAATGAACAGCATTTATTGGTGTTTATTACATTTATTAATCACATTTATCAAAGCATTTATTAAATAGAATATTTTGTAACATTATAAAAGTCTTCACTGTCACTTATGATCAATTTAATGCATCCTTGACGAATAAAAGTTTATCTTACCACAAATGTTTGAATGGTATCATGGTTTAATGTAATAAAACTAATAAAAATGACAAAAAAAAAAATTTTTAAACTAATATTGAAATGAAAACTGATGTAAAAGCTAATTCAGAATAGTAATAATAACTGTAACGATGATGGTAAAATAGCACTGCTCAGTTGTGACTGGTTCTGGTTGCCTGCGCAGAGCCCAGTTTCGTCTTTGCCGATGTGATCCGGGAAGGGCAGAACAACCCGGATGGAGATGACGATAAGATTTACTACTTCTTCACGGAGGTGTCGGTGGAGTACGAGTTCTTCGGCAAGCTGCTGATCCCCAGGATCGCACGTGTTTGTAAGGTGAGATCAGCCCTGTACTAACTCTTATCTCCATCTCCATTTCTTCATCTTCCATTTCGTTTCCAATGAAGGCATAAAAATTTATTTGTTCCGCATGTTTAGGTTTTTTTACTCCCTCAGTAAAAATCATCAAACTTCCCTCTTTGTCACTTAAGATGGATGTTTCTATCCCATCATCTTATCTAGATCTAGATCTATCTAGATCTCATTTTTGTTTTTCATTCTTTTAACATCTTGCTTTCAGTTTCTCTGCGAGAGAATCAACATTTGATCATATGCCATTTTCACATAAAAAACCTACAGAGCTGAAGATTAAGATATTCTTACAAGCCATATTTTTAGACAAAGTTTGGTGCATATTGATGTTTATTTTGGAAGCATGTTTAGTTTATGGCTCAGCGTGCTGTTGAAATTAGCAGAAGCTTCTGTTGATTCTTCATTCATCCGGATGTAATAATTACCAAATATTTCAGAGACATTGAAAACAAAGCAGAATGAGATTTCAGACTGTAATACTAGAGCCTGACCATGAGCCAATCACACATATTTTTCTATTATATATTATACACTACCATTCTAAAGTTTTGAGCAAGTACAATATTTTAATGTTTTTGAATAAAGTCTCTTCTGCTCACCAAGGCTGCATTTATTTGGTCAAAAATACAGTAAAAACAATAATATGGTGAAATATTATTAAAATTTTTAAATTGCTGAATTGTATTTGAATATATATTAAAATGTCATTTATTCCTGTGATCAAAGCTGAATTTTCAGCATCATTACTCCAGTCTTCAGTGTCACGTGATCCTTCAGAAATCAACCAACAACTAATTTCTTCATTTTAACATCCTGCTATAAACTAAACTAAACTAAACGAAAACACCCGATGAGCTGATGAAATAAAACTTCACCTCTACACAAAGTGTTTGTGATTACAGAAGCCTTTCAGTGCTTGAGGCTGTGGTTAGTTTTAGTTCCAGTTGTAATGAAATATTTGCTTCATGTAAACGACACCATGCAGATGTACCATTGTAAACATTTCTCTCTAAAGTGTGTCACGTCTCTCGCTGTAACAGGGTGATCTGGGCGGCCAGCGGACTCTGCAGAAGAAGTGGACGTCGTTTCTGAAGGCTAAACTGGTTTGCTCCATGCCTGAGCTCAACTTTGTCTTTAACGTGGTTCATGACGTGTTCATTCTGAAAGCCCCTCACTGGAGAGACACCGTCATCTATGGGGTCTTTACATCTCAGTGGTGAGGTTTAGCACATTTCTTTATGGTTAGTCGGAAATAAAAAGCCACAGTGCTAAATGAGCGTGTGTGGCATTTAAAACCGCTTGTTCCAGTTTGACTTGATCCATCCAAGTATGTCTGTGAGTCATAACATCACCTGGATCTGAGTGACTGGATTAATGCAAAGCAAAAGTGGTAAGAAGTGTTGTGAACTTTTTTCTTCTAAAGTGTTTGAAACTCAAAGCGAAGACCAGGAGACTCGGGTGTATCTTTTTAAGCAGGGTTCTTTATTGCTGTTGCATTGCTGTAGTCTGCTTCGTCCAAAAATCGTAGCCAAGTCTGACTAAGCCAAAAATACCTTGTGTTCATATACCTTACAAGGGGGAGGAGTTACATAAAGGTGGAGACACTCTGAAACAAAGCATGTAAATGAAGCACAGGATTCAGCTCGTTACCGGAAATTCCCCAGCCCTGATCTCATCAGCATAACAGTGTCATGTATACAATCAGACTGATTGTATCACCCATACCTTCACATTATCATAGAGCTTAATGGGGAGGAGTTACATCGAGGGGGAGACACTGAAACAAAGCATGTAAATGGAGTTTACAGGTTTAGGAACCTGCTCTCAAGACTGAGAGTGATACCAATCCTAATCCAATCAGCATAACTATTCAAACTGAGCCAGGGGCTCCCAGAACCATTAAAGACAAAGAGTCTCAGTAATCTGACCAGGACTGGCAGAATCTCTTGCTCATTTATACCTCAAATGCTAAATTCAGTCTACTAGACTTTCTCAGTTTATATACTTTTGTACTGGAACCTAAATTAAACATTTTAATAAATTTGTAACACTACAGAAAAAGTGGATTTTTTTCTGCATTAGTGAAATGTGTTTCTTGTTTCTCTGTGTGTCAGGGGGAATGTTGGTCTGTCCGCGGTGTGTGCGTATAACATGAGTTCAGTGCACGAGGTCTTCTCCAAAGGGAAGTACATGCAGAAGGCCACGGTGGAACAGTCCCATACCAAGTGGGTCCGATTTAATGGCATCACCCCGAGTCCCAGACCCGGAGAAGTTAGTATTTGCCCAAAACATGGATTTCACTGTTATATATCTGATCAGATGATCCTTAAACGGATAATGAAGGGGTTCAGTTTAAAGGGTGCTGTGAAAGAGAATTACCCATTGAATATAAATATAAAATATATAATGAAATAATAATGAAGTAAAATAAAATAAAACAATAAAATAAAAGGAAATAATTAAATAATAAAATACGAAATAAAATATAAAATAAAATAATTTCAAAATAATAATGAACTACATGCAAATAATAAAATAACACACACACACACACACACACATATATATATATCAAATACACAACAATATATAGATTTGAAATTATTCAAACATATATATATATATATATATATATATATATAAATAAAATTGTAACTCTTAAAGGGATACTCCACTTTTTTTGGAAATAGGCTCATTTTACAACTCCCCCAGAGTTAAACTGTTGAGTTTTACCGTTTTTGAATCCATTCAGCCGATCTCCGGTTCTGGCGGTACCACTTTTAGCATAGCTTAGCATACATCATTGAAGTGGACAAGACCATTAGCATTTCTAAAAACACAATGACCAAAGAGTTTCGATATTTTTCCTGTTTAAAACTTGACTCTTCTGTAGTTACATCGTGCATAGGACCGACGGAAAATGTAAAGTTGCGATTTTCTAGGCTGATATGGCTAGGAACTATACTCTCATTCCTGCGTAATAATCAAGAAACTTCACTGCCGTACCATGAGAGCAGCAGGCGTAATGATATGACGCAGCGCCTGAAAATAGGCCACCTTCCGTCAACACAACGGAACTATTTTCAGGCGCTGCGTCATATCATGACGCCTGCTGCACTCATGGTACGGCAGTGAAGTTTCTTGATTATTACGCAGGAATGAGAGTATAGTTCCTAGCCATATCAGCCTAGAAAATCGCAACTTTACATTTTCCGTCGGTCTTAGTGCACGATGTAACTACAGAAGAGTCAAGTTTTAAATAGGAAAAATATCGAAACTCTTTGGTCATTTTTTTTTGAGAACTGCTAATGGTCTTGTCCACTTCAATGATGACAAACCATAGACAGTATAAGAAGTGGACAGAGCCATCTCATTGGAACTCAGTTGAGACAGTTGAAGCCCATTTTTAGCGATATTTGAGCACTTCCGTTCCTGACGCGCAGACTCAAACCGACTCAAACTAAGCTTGATGACGTGAGCAACCTGTCTGACAGACGTTAATCTTCTAGTAGCTGTGCGTGAAAATTGCCAACGTTAATCTCGCAGAGACGGGGAACTTGAGCAAAGAGGTCTTTGGCGTGAGTGAGCAGGAGTAAGTATTCCGTTGCTTTTATGGACTCATTATCTATGGGCTTCTCCCTTGACGGGACGTCCCCCCGATTGCCTGCGAGCTTCTCCTCCTGTCTGTACGGTAATTTCTGTGCAGCGCGACAGAGAGTCGAGTGGTTATGACGCAATCGTTAGCCTATTTTTACTAAAACTGTTTCTACGGGGCCATAATGTAACATAGAAGGTAATGGAGCCCTTTATACATTGTCGTGTTTCTTTAGAAATAAATAATGGACAAATGGAGTCTTTAAACTCCTCAGATGTAAAGTTATTCGCTGTCAAAGTGACGCCAAAATGAATGGGAGTCAATGGAAATGCTAACGCAAGTGAAGTTCTGCTACAAGATGTCGGCACCCGGCCGGCTTCAACTTCCGGTCGATGAATTACCCCCTTGTGACAAACACTAAGCTATGCTAAAAGTGGTACCGCCAGAACCAGAGATCGGCTGAATGGATTCAAAAACGGTAAATCTCAACAGTTTAACTCTGGGGGAGTTGTAAAATGAGCCTATTTCCAAAAAAAGTGGAGTATCCCTTTAAGTTAGCATAAATATTTGACATGAGGAGAAACTCATATTTGTTAACCAGCAGGCAGGAAGAGTTATCGGCCGAAGCGAATAACATCACCTATTAATTGCTCTATTTCTAATCAATTGATCTGATTATTATCCGTTTCAGTGCATCACTAACCAGAACCGCAAGCAGAACATCAACTCGTCCCTCCAGCTGCCGGATAAGACTCTGCAGTTCGTGCGGGACCATCCGCTGCTGGAGGACCCCGTGCTGCCCATCGGCAACGGCCCGCGCCTCATCACCAAAGACGTCAACTACACACAGATCGCTGTGGAGAGAGTTCAGGCCCTCGATGGGAACCTCTACGATGTGATTTTCACTGCCACCGGTGAGTGAATGCGGTGAAAACGAGCCAAAACCACTGGATGGGAAAGTCTGGTTTTGATTTGTTTCTTTACACCAGGGTTTCCCAAACGGGGGTTCGTGATATGAATGTAAAATAAGAATGAATAGATGGGGCTGCACGATACTTCATCTCTGCTTGTGCTTTCAGGAACACAACGTGTGCTAGCTTTACTTTATTAGACGTCATTTCCAACATTTTTGTTCACTGAAGTTTGCAGCATTTCAGCAGTACTCGCCAAAATAAAAGCTTGAGGATTTGAACGATTGAAAGTGAAGAATTGAATACATAAATATTATTATTATTATTATTAGTAACTTGTAGTGTAAATAAAGCATTGTGATAATTATCTGATAATTATGATAATTATATATTTATTTCTAGTTTAAAACAGTATTTTTTCTTTCTTTATAATTAATTAAAATATAATAAAAATAATAATAATAGTTCATCAATTGATTAATAATATAAATATTATAGAATTATAAAATAGTATTAATAATAATAATAATAATATATAAATGCTAATTATGGTAAAAATAATATTATAATAAATATAATGATAAAAAAAAAATACAAATAATTATTATTTTTATAATAAATATACAATAATAAAATAGTATTCATAACAACAATAATATAGTGTATTAATAAAAATTATGATAATTGTTATTATCATTATATGATATATATATATATATATATATATATAATAAGAAGAAGTAGTAGCAGTAGTATAATTATTGTTTAGATAATATATTATTATTATTAATGATAATATTTAATTTCGATTGGGTTCCTAAAACACCAGTGTGAATGTAATGTGTGGACTGAGACACTATCACATTTAAAAAGAGATTTAAGTCTACTTGAAATTTCAGCTACAAAGTCAAAACAAACAATTATTTATAAAAGATTATATTTTATCTGTTTACTTGCATGTCATGAAACCATTAACCGACTTCAGAGAAACATGAACGTGTAAATTATTGGAATATTAACTTAAAATCTCAAGGAAAAAGGTTGATGTGACAACAAAGTTCAGGTTTCCTGAAGTGTGGAGGTGGTGATGCAGATGTCATGTTGTTGATGTGTCCTCAGATAAAGGTTTTCTGCATAAGTCTCTGGTGTTGGAGGGAGAGGTTCACACGGTGGAGGAGATCCAGCTGCTGAAGAACTCCGAGCCAATCAAAACGCTGCTGCTCTCCACACGGGCGGTGAGAACAGCTCAGATTCATCTTATCAGCCATGTGGCCGTTTGAGAGATGAAGCACGTGAAATGAAATCCACAAAAACACACGTTATTCACTGTTATTCCACAGCAGGGAGGAAGTTTCCATACGCTGGAGACAGACAGTCTGTACAGACTCTGTTCCTCTTCCAGCAGCAAATCATCTAGTTTCTCATTCTCACACAGACAATGGATGTTTAAGGGAATGAAAAATGGCTTCAGGAATATTAATCGTAATTTATTTTATATATATATATATATATATATATATTATTTCTGCAAGCATTTCTCAATATATATGAAATATACTTTATATTTTAGAGTCAGATGAACCATCATATTTTGTTTTATTTTTATATATTTTATTTTTTTATTTTTTTTACAATCGTATTATTTAATATCCATGCTTGCATATTTGTCCTGAAAAGATTTGTGTCAGAGGAATCATAATTTATATTATTTATATCATAGTCTATCATTCATTTCTCATAATTATATTTATATTATTTTGTATTATCATGTATTATATAGATTTTTTTATTATGCAAGTTCTTGATACTTGATACTTCATAATTTTAGAGTCAGAGGAATCGTCTATATATCGTATATCTTACAATTGATATCATAACATATGTCAATACAATTTATGATATAAATATTTTACATTTTTGTTTTTATTATATAATATCCATACTTGTATATTTGCTCTGAAATAACTTTAGAGGAATCATAATTTCGCTGTTTTTCACTACATGAACACAAGAAAGTTTATTAATTTTAATTTATAAGCACAAATATAACCGTACAGTCTAATAAACAGAAATATTTACCTATTTATATTTTTATTGTATAATTTATCTATTTTAATCTCAAACATTTGAAAAAAGAAAACCATGTAAAACGCACACACTACAAGAGCATTTTTGAGTGGATCATGTGTGAGTCACTGATTGGTTGTTTTGAACGGATTGATTCAGGCCCAGTTCCTGTACGCTGGTTCTGACTCCGGAGTGGTTCAGTGTCCCACAGCGTTCTGTGAGAAGTACCTGTCCTGTGTGGACTGTGTCCTGGCTCGAGACCCGTACTGCGCCTGGGACGCGCGCTCGACTTCCTGCATTAATATTTTCCAGGATGATGCTCAACAACGGTGAGAAATGAGAACTGACCGGCACATCGTGACCGACGGCACGTCTGTCTTGTTGACATGGAGGATTTTAGTCTTTAACTTCTCAAATATTTGCAGACACGGCGTCTCTGCGCTGGGCTTTCATGAGGAACACATTATGTTGTAATTGTGTCTTATTTGTTTATAATTTATCCATGCAGTGTTTAAAAGACGCTTTTAAATATTTTTGAATATATTTCCTGGAATATGTTTGCCAGACGGCATTATCATCATTAATCAGATGTGTCTATATTTACTCTGAGCTGTGTGTTTCTCCTGTGTGTTTTACAGGAAGTTGATTCAGAGCCTCAAAGGGGATGCTGGGATGTGCCCTCCAGGTGTGTAATGCACAATGTCATTTGTATTCACTTGCTCAAATGGTCCAGTTTTAGTGCTTGTTTTTTTGCTGTCTGTACACTAGCTGAGACAGACCAACAAAAGCAAGAGTGCATAAGACCATTGTCACTGTATATCTAATAATTATACAGCCGTGTAAACACCACACACACCAGGAAAGTGTAACGGATACAACTGCTAGAGGCATTTAAGTGTGTGGACTAGGGCTGGGCAATGTTTATCTTTTTTATTATTTATAATTTATTATCTTTTTTTTTTCATTTACGAAAATATAAGTTTAATTTCTTAAGTATTTCTCAGTGTCTTCTAATATATTTAATCTATATAATTTCTAAATATTTGTAATATACTTCATAACTTTATAGTCAGAGGAATTATCATCATTTATTTTTATATAATTTATTTTTTAATAATTATTATTTGTATGTATTTTTATATATAATTAAATATATTATAAATGTTTTATATATAAATATACTTTTTAAATTTCTCAGTACATTATAATGTAATGTATAATATATTATAATGGACTTTATATTTTATCATTTTAGATTCGGATAAATTATCATTATTTTTTTGTTATTATTTAATTTATTTTTTATTTATATAATTTTATTATGTAATATCCATAGTTGCATATTTGTTCTTAACTAACTTAAGAGTCATAGGAATCATAATAGTTTATATATTTTATACTCTTTTTTTAAATTATTTCTCTATATTATTTATAATATACTTTTATAATTTTACAGTCGGATAAATCATCCTAATATATTTTATTATTTATATATTAATAAGGTCAGAGGAATCATAAATTATAATTTAAACAGTCATTTCTGGGTAGATTCTAAATGATTAAAACAGGAAGTGGAATACAGTACAAATCTAGTTATAAATAATCACAATCGCTGTTTTTCACTACATGAACACAAGGAAGAATATTAAATGATTTTAATTAATAAGCACAAATAAAGTAGTACAATTGAATTGGTAAAATGTTCCTTTTTATGTTTTTATTAGGGCTGTCAGTTAAACGCGTTATTAACGGCGGCGATTTTTTTATTGCGAGATTAACGGTCTTTTTGGCCTAGCAAACTTTGTATTTTTTTTCACATGCTTTTGCAACAGGACGCGGCTGCGCTATGAAACCCATTCATTTCAATGGCTTCGTCGACCAAAGCACAAGCGGATCTAGCTAGACCGGAAACAAAACAACAGGCACGCCGCACACACTTGTTTGGGCTTGCGAGCCGGTCAAATAGTTGGTTAACGTTACGTTTTGAGTGGATGACGAGCGCGAGACGCCGAAATGGATGCCAATAAGATTCTGAATGGAAAGTTTACTTTTAAAAAGTTGCCAAATGGTCCCATTGACGAGACCAAAGTGATCTGTGTGTTTTGTCGTTGTGAACTGAGCTATCATCATCGCTGCACGTCCAGTCTGAAATACCACTTGATGATGGCCAAGCACACACACACACACACACGCACACGCGCACACACACACACGCACACACACACGCAAACGCACACACACACACACACAGCTGATGCGAATTCTCCGCCCCCTCGTCAATATCAGGACCTCGTCAGTATTTCTTTCACCCTTTTATTGATGGACAGTGTTACATTGTGTGAGAGATTATTTGCTCCAAGTGAGAATGTTAGTGTGAAATTGAACACAGTATATGCCCATGTTGTTTTCAATAAAAAACATTTGCACAAGGCAAGCCGATCCACTTTTCCACGTTGATAAGAGCATTAAAATGAGAAAAAATAATGGGACAAAAAGAAATCAAGAGACATTTAGAATAGATAAAAATGTGCGATTAATCGCGAGTTAACTATGACATTAATGCGATTAATCGCGATCGTTTGACAGCACTAGTTTTTATTATGCGTTTTTTAATTTTAAATCTTAAACATTTTGAATTTTTAAAATAATTATAGGTGTCACTTTCCCCTTGTAAACTAAGAATTTACTGCATTGATGTTGAAGATGACCCATAATCCCGTCCCTCTTGCAGTCGCTGCTGTGGCGCTGGAGGACTACCAGCAGGTGGCGGTAAAGCCCGGCGGCTCGGCTGATCTGTGGTGTCAGGTGCGCTCTAACCTGGCTCAGGTGTTGTGGAAACTCAACGGTCACGCTCTCAGCGACGCCTCTCGCTTCCTCCTGCTGGGGGAGAACGGGCTCCTCATCTACAGCGTGACGTCAGAGGACGCGGGCCGCTACGAATGCTGGTCCGTCGAAGCGGGTGCGGGACAGAACTTCACCCGTCTGGTGGCCGGATACGTCCTTCGCCTGGATCTTCCCGAGAACACGCCTTCAATATCCGCTCAGCGTCCTCCGAGTGTGTCCCGTGACCCGACCCCGGCGCCTGAAGGTAATGACGGTCTCGCCTCAGGACTAACGTCAACACACACGGACTCTCCCTCACTAACAACCCCTCCATTCAACGCCATTAAACCCAAATCCCACATCCCTCCAGAGGTCAGCAACTTACCGACTCGCACCGAGACGCTCGATCCCTCGGCCAAATACATCCAACACGACAACAGCATAGCCCTGCTGTCGCTCTTCCTCCTCTTCTTCCTCCTCTTCCTCGCGGCTCTGGCGTATAACTGTTACATGCAGTACCTGCCGGCGCCGTGTCTCCGCCTGCGATCCGCTCTGCTCGGCTCCAACAAGAAACCTCAGGCCGAGTACGTGGCCTGCGAGTCGGGCCTGATGGAGCCCGTGCAGGAGAAGACGGATTCACCCAATCAGAACGGAGCGCACCCACTGCACGCGCTCAGAGACACCGGATACGAGACGGAGACGGAATATGTGAACGGAAGAGTCCCGTCCGACGGCTTCGAGGACGGTGACGATAGTCCCACTAAAGACCGGCCCTTCGACATAGACTGCGTGTCTCAGCCCATCGAGTACGCAGACGCTGACACGCCACACTAGTGCGGGCTTACACGTGCGCTTGCGTTTGAGGTAAACCACCGTTACTGAACCAAGAACCACAACTAAATTCCAAATAAGATTCCAAATTGGAAACATTATTTACCAAATTGGTAAGTTTGCGTGATGTTTTCCAAATTGGAGTTCCGGACTGTGTCTGAATATTGTTTGTGCAGTTTTAATAATATTTAGCCTCGGTTTGCACTTTCCTGTTATTGTCTTATTTTCTGGTACAAACCATTCTTAAATCAAGATACTTTTGCTTGAGAAGCTAAATAAGATATTAAGTCTTGCTTTTTGAAAAAAAAAAAAGTATCAAAATTGAGTCGGTTTTGTCGAAATATTATTTGTAGTATTTTTACTTTCTTTTGATTTTGGGGTGAAATATCAACAAACCCTAAAATGTAAAGAAATGTTTTTGTTTTGAAAAACTTTTTTGTTTAAAAAGGACTGTTTCCAGGATCATTATATTAGAATTTTTTATATTATTTTGCATTTTGACATTATTTCATGAGATTTTACTTTTTTTTTTTAATGGGTTTCTGATTCTGACAGGATAATTTTGTATTACATGTAGAGTATTTTTGGCATAATAATAATACACATTTGTTTAAATGTCATAAAAATAATGTCACAAAAAATATATAATTCAAAAGGAAAACACGATACGCCACTGACACATTTCTTCTAGTTTCCTGCATTCATCTTTAATATTTTTTAGTAGAAAACAAGTCATTTTGATTATCCAGTAAATGTGTCTTGATTTCAGAATGTTTAATTATTGGTATTGGAAAAGAAGACAAAACATAGTGAGGAAGAAAAAGATTTTTTGCAGTGTGGGGTCCGACCCGAAGTTTATTGGTGATTGATGGCGTGTGGTTGTTAAATCTCAGGGATGATTTCAGTTTCACACATGCAGAGGAAGAGGAAGATGTCTCTGGAAGACCCAAATGCTCTACAACGCTCAAAAACAGAGCCAGATCGTTCCAAAAGCTAAAATGGGTTCCTCGTGTTTATAAACGAGACCAAAAAAAAGTCTAAACACTGTGATATGTCTCTAGCACAGCTTCCTGTGGGTGCAGATGACATGTCTTGTCTGAAGACAACACTTTCACCTGTGTGTGTGTGTGTGTGTGTGTGTGTGTGAGAGAGAGAGAGAGAAAGAGCTGCCGTCTCACATGACACAATATTCGATTTCTGAGAGTGTTTGACTGAAGTCCACAAACGTGAGCTTTGAAAACTTTTTTTCTTAAAGAAGCAGCTTTATGATTTTGATATTTTTGAAGATATTATATTATTTATGTTAGCAATAGTAGCGTGAATATCACAAAAAAAAGTCAAGAAACCCCAACATTTTTTGCATTTTTATTTTGACATTATTTCATGATGGTGAAATACATAAATTGTGTCCTGACAGGATAATTTTCATCACTTTATGTATTTCTTTAACATTATGGCAGTTGGAATATTAAGCATGCTTAAATGTCATTGAAAATACTGTCACAAAATGTTTTTTTATATGTAATTTGTAGTATTTTTTTTATTTTGTTTTTGGGGTGAATTGTCAAAACTCCAAAATGTCAAGAAAATTTAATATTTTTGCCCCTTTTTAGGACATTATTTTCTTTTTTTCATTTAATTTTGGGTTGCATTTTGGCAATATTTCATGACAGTGATTTTAATAAACACACAAAATATATATAATAAATTGTGTCCTAACTGGATAGTTTTCATGACTGTATTGCATATAAATTATTATTATGCTAATTCAAATATTAAGAATAAATCTTCTTAAATGTCATGAAAATAATGTCACAAATATTGATTTTCTTTATGCAAAAAAAGTAACTTTTTCATGATAGTGACTTGAATACAAAAAATAAATAAATACATAGTGTCCTGCAAGTACTTCTGGCATTATTGGAAAAGAAATGTCATGAAAACAGCGTCACGAAGCATGCTACGTATACTTGGTTTTCTCTTGATTTTTGGGTGAAATGTTTGGTCACGCCTCTCCTGCTGTTTCCCGCCGTCATTCCCAGCTTTTCCCGTGGCGTTCCTGAATCTCCTGTCCATTCTCAGCACACTCTTGTGTTTGTCTCTCTCTCTCTCTCTCTCCTTTCCTCCTTCACTACACAGCACCCTTGGCTGTTCCTCATCCCCCTGTCGACGTCCCGTCCTCGGGCTGGAGGGGTGTGGATGGGCCTCGGCTGATCCCCCCTCTCCTGAGGGAACAGTCCTGGGCCCTTCACCCTCACCAGGCCTTCCTGCTCTTCTGCCTGGCCTTGGGTGAGTGGTACCTCTGACCTCTGACCTGCTTCTCTCTCATCAGTCTTGTCTCAATACTCCCAAGCCTGACTTCCTTTCACTCCTCCTGCAATATTAAGTGTTCTGATTGGCCGACGAGCCAGATTTTGTGAGAGGAAGTCATTGGACGAGTATTTCGACAAGTGTTTTTGTGTGTCTGCATGTTCTGCTCACCGCCTGATGCCTAAAATTTGCATTCGAATTTTTCTTTTTACTCCTTTATTTTCAAAAAAGAGCGAATAATGAAGAGATTCACTTCTTTAGAGTTTACTAAACTTTTATTTTACAGTAAATAACTTTAGAATTTCTGTTCAGATCTTAATTTATGATTATGGTTTGTATTATTGTTTCACCTTGAGACGCGAATCTTGTTCTATAAATGGACTCTTGTGAAAGAAGTGCGTGAGAAAACGTCTGACTAAAGGACTCTATGAAGGTCGTTCATCAGATCACATGCACTTTCAGCACCAGCCGTGTACAGTGTAAATATTTGTACATAAAAAAAAACTGATGATGTACAAAGTTTCTTCAAATCTTTTTGTTAGAGAGCCTGAATAAATGTTTGAATTGCAAAAAATGTGAAATGCTGTTTATTGCGTACAGATGCGTTATTGAAGCTGTATATTATATCATGTGGTTTAAACTGCCCCTATTATGGTATATTTTAAAGACTCAGTGTGTGAATCCTAAAATTAGGATTAAATTGTTAGACTTAAATTGTTTAAGTCTCCTGCAACATGTTTACACGCATCCAAGCTCAAACACTGTCGTCTTCTCACATCCATTGCGGCATCAGCTCATTTCTCAGAGTCTGAAACGGTTTGATCAAGGATCTGATCTCTATAAACCCTGCCTTTCTGAGAGCCTGCTCTGCTCTGATTGGTCAGTGCTCTGCTCCGATTGGTCAGATGGCCCAGTCTGTTGTGATTGGTCTACTCTGCTCCGATTGGTCAGATGGCCCAGTCTGTTGTGATTGGTCTACTCTGCTCTGATTGGTCAGATGGCCCAGTCTGTTGTGATTGGTCTACTCTGCTCCGATTGGTCAGATGGCCCAGTCTGTTGTGATTGGTCTGGTCTGCTCTGATTGGCCGAGCACTTACAGCGTGTTTCAGTAACTAAATGGGCATTACCATATATGGATTTCCGCTCCGGATCTTCCGCCGAACTTGATAGACAGTGATATGAACAGTAACCATGGCGTCGGTTTTACTATATCAATCACATCCTTTAGAAGTGCATCAAAGTGGATTCACACACTGAAAACAGCGTCTTCTCGACATGAACAACACAAAGCAAACTCTTCCAGTCTCAGCTACAACTACAGTGTTTGAGGGCGGGGCTAAGTAGACGCTGTACGCCGTCAGCCAATGAAAACCATAGGCTGGTATTATGCAAATTAGTTACAAAACTACATAATTTTGAGCAGGAAGTGAGACGAGTTACTGACGACTCTGGCGGTTCCTTTCTTCTGCGAGGATTACTCCATTTATCTGCACTTTGTAACTTTACAGACCTTTTACATTCACAAACAGCTTTATTACACACTACATGAAAGGTAATATCCCACAGACCACAATAGGGGCACTTTAAAGGGCTTTTGAAGTGAGCAAAAACATCAACAGCCTGCAAAATCTAATTATTATTATACACTATTACAATTTTTGAATGTTTTTAAGCGAGGGCAGTGAATCAGTCCTTTCCCATAGTGGCATTAAACGTGTGACGGATGTGAAAACATTCATATTTAAAGATTGTCAGCTAGGTGTCACTGTTCACAAGCACAGATGAGATCTCCGCTTCGGTGTTTGCAACAGTGCCGTTACAATGCTAGTCTGTTGGGCAAGACGTTTCAGGGGGTTTCAAAGCAGAAATGTGAAGCTCATATTTTTGTTAAAGCACTTTATATTAATTGTTTCATATATAATTGTGTGTTATTTGTAGCTCAAGCAGCACTGACACAAGCAATGCCACGGTCATGGGTTTGATTCCCAGATCATGATCGGAGAAAATGAATATCTTTAATGAAATGTAAATCACTTTGGATAAAAGCATCTGACAAATGCATGAATGTAAATGTATTTGAGCTAAAGAGTCTTATAAGGTGAAACTCATTTTCTGGGTGGATGAACTGTTATTCATCGCCAAATGATTTTTTCTATCTAAACGGTCACTATTTTATCCCTGTGTTTACTGTGAAAGTTACCAGGTTTACCAGGTTACAAGTCGAAATATTGGATATAACTTTGCACAGAAAGTGGTTTTGTGTCGACACGTACGTGTGTCTTTGTAATGTACCAGTGAAATGAGACAAACTCAATTAGACGAGTCAAAATGTATGGAAACCTGTTTCCGCCATAGAATAAAAAAGGTAATTGCAACTTTTTATCTCAATTCTGACTTAAAGTTTATAACTTAAAGTTCTGACTTTCTCGCAATTCCGAGTTTATGTCTCACTCTGATGTAAACTCTTCATTACGAGTCATAAAGTCTCAATTGTGCGATATTTTTAACTCAGTCATAATTTTGAGTTAAAAAGTTGCTATTACCTTTTATTATTGGTTTTGATTGTTCTGTGGTGCTTGTGGTGGTCAACAACATGTCACACAGATACTGTAAATCAAGCTTGTGTATATAACCACTCAGCTTGTATTGAACCACTCATTTAAAACATTTATTTACTCATTTAGCTGAATGCATTTGAAACAAATCCTAACTAATTTGATCTGGTTTATGATCTGAATGTACAGTTTGTTATGCATGTAGAATGAGAGTGTGTGATAATCCAATGATTCCTCAAACCGCATGATACTGCCAGGTTTGACTGGCTTTAGTTGTGGATGAAAACCGTGTGTGTGTGTGTGTACTGGAGCTCTAAATATCATGTAGGGTCCAAATGTAAGTGCAGTTTTCCTTCAGGTCCTCGAGATGTAAGTGTTGAGTGGCACATGAACGGACGGAGACTCGAGACTCCCGTGTTTGAACACAGGCGCGTGGTTTCCCATGATGCCGTGCTGGTGAGCAGCTGGCTGAAGGAAGAAGCTCTGACAGAAGATGTGCAGTATGAGTGTACGGCAGTGTCTGAAACTGGAAACGACGCTTCAAAAGTCGACCTTCGGCTCAATGCCAGAGGTAAAGCCGCGAGTCGGACTGTAAAATGCGCATGCGTGGTCGTGTTGCCTTCACCTGTGACGTGATGATGATGATGATGTGTGTTTCCTCTCAGACGAGGCCGGTGTTCCTCACACACATGTGGATCAGTGGAGAAACACTCTGTCTGAACACAACACACTCCTGCAGGAGTGGAAGAAAGCCTGGGTGAGGGGAAAATCACACTTTTTGATGTTCGATGTTGAATTTTAGAGCACATTTCCTGAAAGAAATGATTTTTTTTTTTTTGTTCACTGAACTTTTACTCTCAAATCAGTGACCAATTCAACAATTCAAACTCTTGCACTTGAGATTCATAGACACTACCAATCAAACGTTGTTTTTTTATTATTGTTTTTTTTTATAAATGTATCATTTTATTCAGCAATGATGCATTAAATGAATCAATAGTGACAGTGAAGATTAGACAGTGCGCATTTATAATGTTAAGATTTCAATTTCAAATAAATATTGTTCTTTTGAACTTTTTTCATCAATGAATCCTGAAAAAATGGTTTCATCATCATATCATAATGATTTCAGTGACACTGAAGACTGGAGTAATGATGCTGTTGAACACACAGCTTTGATCACAGGAATAAATTACATTTTAATATATATTCACATAGAAAACAGCTATTTTAAATTGTAATAATATTTCACAATATTAATATTTCTACTGTATTTAGAATTAATAATGAGCAGAAGAGACATCTTTCAAAAACATTTAAACCCCAAACTTGTGAATGTTAGTGTGGCTTTCGAGATGTTTTTGCACACATTTGTGTGTGTGTGTGTGTGTGTGCATATATACCGGTATATAGGCCTATATATATATATTGACCTGGACACTGGAATTTGAGGTTAGATGTCCATAGGATGGTTTAGGGTTAACACATGATGATGGTGTGTTTGTTGTTGATCACAGTTGTTCTCGTCCTGTAGGAGAGCTGTGATGGACAGGGTGTTCTCTGAACCGGCTCATTATCGCTCATCATGGCATCGTTTTCTGGCTCCAGGGACGGACGCTTGGACGAGAGCACACACACACACACACACACACACACACTCTCACATCATCACACTGCTGGTGTGTGGTGCTTCAGGTCCATGATGCACACACACACACTCTCTCAGCGGCTCCGTGTCCATCAGCCTGTCCCTGTTCCTCCGGATCCGAGATCCCACTGGAGAACGTCGGGGATTGCAGGCGGTTTGAGACAGTTGTGGAGGACGTACGCAGAGAGACAGGTGCAGACAGCGAGACTGATGACAACCGCTTTCTACAACGCTTCTATTTGTAGCGCTTCCATCCTCGAGAGCAGACACAGCGGCTCATGTTAGTGAAGCAGCATCTGTGTTTATAGCCTCCTGTTGTGTTATTGAAATAATCCCGTGTGTTTATCTAAGCAGATTTTGAATGCATATCAAGGAAGTTGCTAGAATATATTTTTTTGTCCTCCAAATTAGAGGTTGCAACCACAATAAATAATATTTCTATTATTCGTCAGAGACTTTAACCATGTTTTTGGATGTATCTGGAGCAGTTTCACAGCCTCAACTCCTGTTCTGAGCTGTAGTTGTGTTCAAGATATTCTGAAGGAAACTTTGTTTACAGGGGAAAAAACGTACCATAACAATCATAATAGCCTATAAAACCCATGTTCCTTAAAATACTCTATATGTGAAATGACTAAGCTCAGAATCTCTCTTATCTCTTCATGTTGTTTGCACAACTCTAAATGAAGTTTTATGGCTCCTCTCCATATGAAGGTCAATGGCGTCCACTTCATGTGTCCTCTTCCTGACCTCTGACCTCAGAGACCAGCGTATGATCGTCCAGAGAGTGTGTGAAGACTGTTAACTGACCCACACAATCAGCTGCCAATGAAAGGCACATTAATCAATCCCTGCACTGCTTTTCCAGCTGATCCAGACGGGTGACCTCTAGAGACACTGTAACACACACACACACACACACACTTACCAGCCTATTAAAATCAGTGTTCACCTCTGAACACATAAACAGCGTGGCTTTGGGAAGGTGAAGTCTCAGTTTTTACATTCAACCATCCTCATAAAACCGCAGATATTGTACAAACAGGTTTAATTTAAGCTTTTAAATCGCATTTTATAGATCAGCCACCAATGTTTTGAAAACTTGCATGCATACAGCAGTGTCCTTAAGTGATGTTCAGAGCGGATATTTGTTTTTATGACCATACAAGTTTGATTAAATCAAAACATGAGGAATATATATATATATTTTAAATATAAGGGAAAAACTAACACTAAACTTGTGGTATTTATCTGACAAAAGCATTTGGCAAAAAGGATAAACTACAGTTACAGGTTTTATTTTACTATGCAAAACAAAACAAAAAACTTATAGAAAAGCATAAAGCTCAAAGGAAAAAGCATACATTGACCACAACATAATCAGTTATTAATATTTCGTTGGTCTCTCTTGTTCTTGCATGTTCATATTTATATATATTTTTATGACAGCCTGGTCAAAGATGATGTCAACACAATTTGCTTTGTCAATGCACTATTATCACAAATAAAACGACTGACTCCAAGCACAACTACTCAATATACTTACAAAATCTTTTTTTAATAATATTTGAATCGATGGTTATAAGCCAGACATCCCTTTCGGCCACTGCATGCAACATTTTACACAGTATTATGCTGCTGTTGTCAAAAAAATTACTTAATAATTCTTTCAATTCCTCAAGATTCTTAAATGCAATAATTTTAAAACATAACCCTTTCCTGATGAGAGCGAATAAAACCAGTGTGTGGTGTGAGACTTTATTTATTTCCAGGCTAAAATGTGACCTGGACATGAGAATTTCACCAAAGGGCTTTAAATGCTCCTCTTAACACGTTGTTTTCTATAGGATGAAGATCTAATTAAATTATTTTAATAATTTAAATCACATTTGATAGATCAGCAACCATTGTTTTGAAAATTAGCATCCATACATGCATCATAACCGTATTAGTTACTTGTCAAACATGCTTTAAACGCACGTTCCAATTCTCAAGATGCATCTCAGAAAGTTTTCGCACAAGATTCTTAAATGCATTCATTTGAAAACAGGAACTTTGCTATGTGAGTAAATGTTGAGTGGTTTTATATTGTGGTTTTCAGACTCCTATATTCACCAGGAAGGTGTTTTGCCACATACAGGAAGTGGTGGCCTCAGAAACAGGAAATGAGAGAGATCCAGCCACAGGTGAGGGAGATCATGTCATGTGGATTTCATTCAATTAAATAAACTTAATAACAGCGTTATTATCACTGAACCCAATGAACAGGCCTATTTAGAGTCCAGAACTAGTGGCTTTTGTCATTTTGACACCGATTGAAGTCTTAAATATGTTTCAGGTAAAGCCAGGAATTGGATGTCCGGATATTTAGCAGCAACATTCACTCAAATCTTTTATATCTGCTTTAGCTTTGAGAAACAAAACAGGACTCCTGTCATCAATACTAAAAACGACACTACTAGAAATCTGATAAAAGACACTGTGAGAAAAATGATGACCGTTTATAGGCCTGATTCTTCCGCCAGCCATTAGGCTGCTACTGTAACCCACAGCTATTACTGTCAGCTACTGTAATGGTTCAGTCTGACCAAATAATGACAAATGTAAAAGGTAACTAATTAAACTATTCATCGTTTTGACCAACAAATATAATTTCCTTTTAAACACATGACAGTTTGCCCCAAAAAGAATATCCCAAACTGCCCCAATCTACCATCATCATCATCTAGAATCCACTGCCCCAATGCCTGTATTGTAAACCCAGTTAACAGGGAACGTTCTCGGAACTTCCACTTTCAGAATGTTAAGAGAGCATTCAAAAGTAACGTTTCCATGTTTGAAAAATGATCAAATGGAATGTTCTCTTTTTTAACCATTCAGAGAACTTTCAAAAATAGCGTTAAGAACGTTCTCAAAACATAGACTATTTAATTGAGCTGTGAAATCACTGCTCACTGGAGCTTTTAGACCACATAAAACATGGCGATAAACAACACTAGCTAACTAGAATGCATTTTACTTACTAACAAATTGGGAACACATTTGTATTTTATTATTGTAGCCTATTATAATAAGCATTTTACTATGTTCTTATCTTATTTAAAGTACCAAATGAGGCATACAACATGAATGGTTTATCCTAAAATGGGTTAGCTAAATGTTCTTCGAACAGTTGTTCTATAACAAGTATTTGGAATATTGTTATTCAAAACGAACCACTGCATTAGTTGCGATGTGGCGCCATCGTGTGGTGAAAGCAGAGTTGTGCTGGCAGAGGAACTACGCAGAAAACAGGCACGAGGCGGCATTTTAATTTTATTATAAAGAGCAGCAAGAATATAAAAAGTCATAATTCTATTCTTTTTGAAAAGTAATGTTGTGATAAAAGGTATAAACTTGTTCTTTTCTCAGTAAAAACCCTGTTTTCAAGAAGCGCAGTAGCTGATAGTGCTGTCATTATGGCTGTTCTATAACTACTTTTTAAACAGATTGTTCAAATTTTGTATCGTAATTTAAACATGACAAAGCTCTTTTACAGTATACACTTGCCTTCCCTGAACAATTAACGGAAACTAAGAATCTTCATTTCCTAGATACACACAAATTATTCCCTTTAGCATACAGTACATCTTTTTATCCCCCAAAATATTTAGCATTGTTCTTTAGTTCAGCCATGTAAACACTGATTTAGGTTTCTAAACACTGATGATGCATCACAGACTTTTATTCAACACACAAAGGTTTGGTTTCACCCAGAGAGGCACTTGGGTCACATGCTTCTTTTTTTTCTTTTTTTAGTTAAGAGCCCTTGAATTTTTACTGAAAATTTCCCATAATCCCTTGATTCTGTCCAAGCATAAATCATGGTCAAAGGAGTCCAGAAACGAGGTGAAGTTCTCCAGTATTCACTGAATATCACATTCAACCACAGGAATGTTCCAGAAAAGCAGGCGACACTTGCCACTGTCATTATTTTGGTAGAGGTCTTCTAAACAGCAGAATATGCGGTTCTGGAAAAATAAATACAAAAGCAAATGTTATATATCTTTCATTTATTTGATCAAAACTTAAAGGGATAGTTCACCCTAAAATGAAAACTCTTTAATTAATTAATTACTCACCCTCATGTTGTTCCAAACCCGTAAGACTTTCGTTCATCTTCGAAACACAAATGAAGATCTTTTTAATGAAATCGGAGAGCTTTCTGTCCCTCCATTGACAGCTACGCAACTACCTCTAGTGCATCAAAAAGTTCATAAAGAGATCGTAAAACTAATTCATATGAATTGAGCGGTTTAGTCCAAAATTCTCTTAACTGTGCGTTCACACCGGACGCGAATAGCGCGTCAAATTCGCGTCTACCGCGTCTAGTTTGACGCTTGACCACTTTGTGTTAATTCGCGTGTCAATGGCGAAATTGACGCGCGTAAAAACAAAAGTTTGAAGCGAAATTTACGCGCGTCAGAGGCGAAATCCGGAGGCGAAAGTTTCGAAACCCGTTGGCGGCCATCTTTTTAGATGTTTATCGAGCATTAGCATTAGCATTATTCGAGAGAGTCACCGCTCGTATATGCTCTGGAGAGCAGAAGCAGCTCCGTAGGGGACATCGTCGCTGTACTCGGGTCCACCAGAACCTCCGGAGGGTTTCAGGAGTTTCACAATTTAATCCAGGAGCTAGGTTTGGTGGACCTAATGGTGAGGACGCTGATGAGGACAGCGTAGGCCGTATAAGCCCTCGGCCTCGAGTGGTCTACCTATGCCTGTCGAGCCCGCGCTCTACAGCCCGGCGCGAGGTTCACCCTCGCCCGCATCCACCTAATCTGTCATTTATTTTTGTTTTGATAATAAATGAAGCCAGCCTCCAAAAGTGATTAATCTGTCCTGTGATTTTTCTCTCTCTCTCACACATCACTGTCCAGACACGAACTTATATGTTGGTTGTCTTTACATTATAATAATATTTCATATAATCTAGATATGGAATAAATAGCATTCAATGCAAAATGAATATGTCTCATATATTGAAATCAAGTTTTATGTGATAAAATATTTGCTTTGTTGTGCATTAGAACCACAGTCATATATTACAAAATAATTTATTGAAGCATCCAGATACTTCACCACGTGACAGCAGCCAGCAGCTAGGCTCCTGATTGGTTAACGCGGCGCGAATTGACGCAGAAGTTCAGATTTTTCAACTCGGGCGGCAGACGCGAATTCGCGTCAAACGCGTGAATGCACAAATAGCACTAACTAAATCATTCGCGCGTAACGCGCTTAACGCGCCAGACGCTCAATTCGCGCCATTCGCGCGAACTTGACGCGCGAATGAGGCGTATTCGCGTCTACCGCGCCGCGCTCTACGCCTCATTCGCGCCGCAGGAATTTTTTACGCGCGTAACGCGTCTTTGCATTGACTTAACATTGAAATCACTCGCGCCTGACGCGCTA